TTTTAGGCACTAAACTATCAACATACAGTTGAAGTCGGAAGTTTACATACACCTTAGCCAAATACATTTAGACTACGTTTTTTAATCCTAGTAAAAATTCCCTGTTTTAGGTCAGTTAGGATCACCACTTTATTTTAAGAATGTGAAATGTCAGAATAATAGTAGAGAGAATGATTTCTTTCAGCTTTTATTTCTTTCATCACATTCCCAGTGGGTCAGAAGTTTACATACACTCAATTAGTATTTGGTAGCATTGCCTTTACATTTTTTTACTTGGGTCAAACGTTTCGGGTAGCCTTCCACAAGCTTCCCACAATAAGTTGGGTGAATTTCCTCCTGACAGAGCTAGTGTAACTGAGTCAGGTTTGTAGGCCTCGATCGCACACGCTTTTTCAGTTCTGTCCACAAATGTTCTATAGGATTGAGGTCAGGGCTTTGTGATGGCCACTCCAATACCTTGACTTTGTTGTCCTTAAGCCATTTTGCCACAACTTTGGAAGTATGCTTGGGGTCATTGTCCATTTGGAAGACCCGTTTGTGACCAAGCTTTAATTTCCCAAGTTGTTCAGTGATGCTTAACAGAGCTCCACAGCGGAGGTGTCATAATACCCATAACACCTAGCAATCAAACAGGGAAATGGTTCCAATTGTTTTTCCACCATTCATTTTTCCCATAGGGGATTTTAGAAACACTTAAAATAAGGGCTGTGTTTCGTGTAGGCTTACCCTGGCGTTACATGGTTTTGATAACCATGTAAATCTCTCTCGGACAAGGTGACTTTTATCCGCCATCTTTCCTCCTCACACCTCAGTCAGCTCAGGATCAAAACTCTGAACAGTAATATTGCGCTGCTCTGTCATTTTGTCAACAAGGCAGCATGGTGGATCGTCCAGAAACATACAACATATATTTTCCATGAAATAAATGTTTGATTTTTCTAATTCCTTTTCATTGGAAATGCAGATAAAGCGTTTTTTATCAAAAGCAATCCCTTTTGTAAGGGAAAACACAGAATCCTAGTAATTACTCCACGTGCTTAATTATGTCACTTTCTCTCCTCTTTCTAGAGCTCTGTCTTTCCGACCATAAGATCACTAACGTCACGATATGACCTAGGTTTTTTTTCGAGTTCCCAGTTGTCGTGAACGTACCACTAGAAAGAGGCTCGAGTTCCCGAGTTGGAATTCCGATTTGATGGCCGTTCAAAACGATTTTTCCCAGTCGGAGCTCGTTTTTTTACTCCGAGTTCCCAGTTGCTTGAACGCACTGAAGTCAAAGATTTCCGAGTTCCCAGTTGTTTTGAACGCGGCAATTATAACCAAAGATGGTGGCACAAAGAACGTCAACAGTGACGTAAATGGTCCTAAAAAATAAGGCTTGAAAAAGCGCCTATTTGGTTGGATGTATGTGCATAACTTTATGAGGTCTTTCAATTATTATGCATGTAAAAAAATATTGGTGATGGAGATGCCTAACTGGAATCAATATTTGTTCGAAACAATGGTGATAATTTCAAAATCATGGGTCAATCCAATCCAGGCTTATGTTTAGACAGCATTATTTCAGGCCCAAGTGTTTTGGCGTCGTTCAATCATGGCGGAATGGAAGATCTATTGAACTGAGGCGGATCCTCTGTAAAGAAAAACATGTATTTGTCATTTTGGTGGGTGCAACTTCCTTTGGAATAATATGTAGCTAATCTCTTGATCCTGTAAATCAGGATCATAACGACGTTGTACTCATCTCAACACTACATGGTAAGTTGGAAGCTTACTTGCTCCATTTTCCTGGGGGATGCTTGCACAATTTTAAATGCTTGACAACAACAGCTATGCAAACACTGTTTAACTTTCATGTTAGCAAGATAATATACGAATATACATATACTGAGTTACACCCCCCTTTGTCCTCAAAACAGCTTCAATTAGTCAGGGCATGGACTCTACAAGGTTTCGAAAATGTTCCACAGGGATGCTGGCCCATGTTGACTCCAATGTTTCCCACAGTTGACTAGTTGGCTGGATGTCATTTGGGTGGTGGACCATTCTTGATACACACGGAAAACTGTTGTGTGAAAAACCCAGCAGTGTTGCAGTTCTTGACACACTCAAACTGGTGCGCCTGGCATCTACTACCATACCCCGTTCAAAGGCACTTAAATATTTTGTCTTGCCCATTCACCCTCTGAATGGCATACATACACAATCCATGTCTCAAGGCTTAAAAGTCATTCTTTAACCTGTCTCCTCCCCTTCATCTATACTGATTGGAGTGGATTTAACAAGTGACATCAATAAGGGATCATAGCTTTCACCTGGTCAGTCTGTCATGGAAAGAGCAGGCGTTCCTAATATTTTATACACTATGTATATTTGCGGTAATGTTGTTAGTTAGTAAGTAATATATGGCACCTTATAGCTTCGGACCGCAATTTGGATCTAGACTAGGTAGCTAGCTACAGTCATAACGGGATATGTGATTCTCCATATCGCAGTTACAGCTTCGCTAGTGTAAAGTTTAGCAAGGAATTTTTCAACTAATCTCTTCTTGTCTGGCAGCTAAAATGGCGAGAGAACTCATCTCTCAGTGCAAAAGGTGGATATAATATCTTTCTGAATTCATTATTATTTTTATTTATTTATTTTTTAGAGCCACCTGCAACTGGACACGGACATTTATGATACAATTTTCTTCTGACTCGAGAAACGACAAAAGTAAGTTTCAAGTTTTAATGTCACATGCACAAGTACAGTGAAATGCCTTTCTTGCAAACTCAAAACCCAACAATGCAATAATAAATAATAATGTATTACTAGAAAAAACATATGTCTGCTGCTGATGTTCGTGTTTACATGGCTAGATCTTGATGGGACATTGAGCTTAAGTGTTTATTTTTTATTTTTTTATTATGATTATTATTTTAAAGAAAATTTAAGGGGTAGATCAGCTTTAATATTGCAGATAGATTGTAACTTCCATCAATGTAATTGTCTGCATCACTTCCAATCCCCCATGTTTTTTTCTTTCTCGCAAATATGTATACATACATATACACACATGCATACATATAAATACATATCCTTTAAAAAAATATATTTCCCTTTATTACTTTCCAACCCCACCACCCCTTCCCTAATTGGAGTAAACTAGTGAACAACAATGCTTAGGCCTCTACTTCCAGCTTATACATACTATATACATTTTATGGACACAGTCAATTTTACAATAATTCTATTTTGTTTGTTTTTACTCCTGAACTTCCTCTACCCTCAACCTCTCCGATCATTTTCATGATGTCCATCCCATTGGGCTTAAGTTAGATGGATTCTTAGCTCTAGTTTGTCTTCCATACAGGGTTCTAGAGCGATGTGCCCAGAAGAGCGTTGCACTACAAGTCTACTTGTAAAAATGTCCATTCTTTAATGCTTTCCTTGTAACTATGTTTGTCTTGTGTAACTGCATGCTTTTTTTAGTTGCTGAAATCTGTAGTTATTTAGTTATTTTAATTTTAACATTTGTCAAACTGCGCCCCATAATCCACTGTTTTCCAATGCAATAGAGTAGGAAGGTAGGACTGCAAGCGTTCACTACCACTCAATACTTGTATAAATGTCCATTATTTAATGCTTACTGTGTACCTGTGCTTGTCCTGTTCGTTATAGAGTTGTCGGTTGCATTCTTTGCGTCCCCTGTCAAAACAAAGCAATGACGGGCTTCTCCTTCTTCATCAACAAACAACGGCTCCCTTGGCAGAGGTCACTTAAAATGCTACTTTTATAAAAAGCTACGGATTTCAGCACCGAAAGAAAAGTTTGCAGTTACTTAGGACAAACATAGGTACAAGGAAAGCATGAAAGAATTGACATTTTTACAAGTATCGACTGATAGACTCGATGTAGTCGGTGGTACACTCCACCGACACTCATCGCAACTAAACTCCGTTGGAAGGAGTTGAGTTTACTAAGCTAATGGATCCTAAACCCAATGTTCCGTCGATCCTATTTGTGGTCCGAAGCTAGGCACCCGTAGGCTAGACCCGTAGGCAAAGTTAAACAAACCATACAACAATGCACAAGGACTAATTTTAACAATTTCCACTGAACATTTTATGAAACACATTTATTTGAATAACAGTGCAGATGCAAAGTTTGGTAACATAATGACTGCACCAACAGCACATACTGTCTTACTTAGCATCTGCACGGTTCTTCAAGTAAATGTGTTTTTGTAAAATTTTCTGTGGAAATTGATAGAATTATTCGTTGTGCATAGAGTTGTATGGTTTGTTTAACTTTGCAATCATTGGTTTTTGTTTGGCATACATTTTAAAGGGGAAAATCAGAAGCTCAGCCTCACTCTGTTACTGTGTTATTGCCCCTAGGCTCCTGAAAGTGTTATTTAACTAGCTATGCCAATGACGTCTAGAAGGTAACCATATAGCTAACCCTCATTTTTGGAGGCTTATTTAAACCTCTTACTGAAAGCAGGTTCCAACTCAGGGAATAAGCGTACTCATAACAGACCTTAGGTTAGTTAGCTTGTTTCAATCTAGCTTCGGACAGCAACTAGGATCTTGATGGGACATTCTGTGCCCAATATCCCGTCAAGATCCTTGTTGCAGTCTGAAGCTAGTATCAATCCTGATTTGGAAGCTGCTGGCCGTGCTTGTTTATGGTAACATCCAGAGTTGAAGAAACTCATTCATATTTCAAATGAAGGATTTGTAGTGTATGGATAATCTACAACAGTGTTTTCAACCCTGGTCCTCGAGTACCCTCAACAGTACACATTTTTATTTTAACCCTGGACAAGCACACCTGATTCAACTTGTCAACTAATCATCAAGCCCTCAATGAGCTGAATGAGGTGTGTTTTTCCAGGGCTACAACAAAAATGTGTACTGTTGGGGGTACTGGAGGACCAGGGTTGGGAAACACTGACCTAGAAGATGACATATTTGCCATGTCCTCTCCTCTTCTGCTCACTCTAAATGTAGTTGATGATTCAGCAGGTGAAACCGCATCTGGCTGTCACCATGCCTGTGGTGTGGCCCACCCTCCTTGACCTGGGCAGGGATGAGTGTAAGAGAATCCTCCGTAAACTTGGTAAGACCCTTTCAACTTCTCCGGCTTGCCTCTTGCATTAAGTTACTTTTTTTTAATTATTTTTTTATTTAACCTTTACTTAACTAGGCAAGTCAGTTAAGAACAAATTCTTATTTACAATGACGGCCTACCCCGGCCAAATTGTGCGCCGCCCTATGGGACTCCCAATCACAGCCGGATTGTTATACAGCTGGAATCGAACCAGGGTCTGTAGTGACGCCTCTAGCACTGAGATACAGTGCATTAGACTGCTGCGCCACTTGGGAGACCTGTCACTTTCAAAGAACCCAAAATGTTACTGATGTTTCAGAGTGAAAGCGAAGTTGTTTTTAATGATAGCCCGTATTGTTTCAACAGAGCTGGAGGCGTACGCCGGCGTAATCAGTGCTTTGCGAGCCCAAGGCGACCTCACCAAGGACAAGAAGGACCTCCTCGGAGAACTCACTAAAGTCCTCAGGTAAACCACCGAAGTCACTGTATTTTTTCCATAGCTAGAGGAACCTAGGGAATATGGGGCCCTTTTCTTTGTAAAAACAAACTTTGCCTGTTACTTAATTGCTCATTCTTACTTTGCTAATTGTGTGGTTGTCTCCCACAGCATTTCAACAGAGCGTCATCGTGCCGAGGTCCGTAGGGCCGTCAATGATGAGCGCCTTACCACCATTGCCTATCAGTAAGTCATGTTACCTCCCCAAGATTATCAATACTGAAACTACATACACATTATGAACTACTACCAAATACTAATACACGCATCAGTCCCTCAATGTACCATCAATTTACCCTGACAATTCTCTCTTGTCACAGCATGTCAGGTCCCAACAGCTCCTCAGAGTGGTCCATCGAAGGACGTCGGCTGGTCCCCCTGATGCCCAGACTGGTCCCCCAGACGGCGTTCACCGTGACGGCCAACGCAGTGGCCAGTGCCACAGCCAATCAGAATGCCTCCCTCTTGCTGCCTGCCAAAACAGGAAATAAAGAAGGTAAGATCACCGACAGCTCAAGGTGGAAACTGCCCTTAACCACAGATCTAGGATCAGATTACTTTACTCCTAATCATAACTGGAGGGATTTTGGAGATTAAAAAATATCTGACCCTGTATCAGTGGTTAGGGGTAACATGCTACCTGCAGCATCAACGGAAGACCGAGGAAGACCATAAAGTATCACTTGACATGTCTCGTTATAGTGTCTTTATATGAAGTATGGTTATTTGTTTGCAGTGGTTGTTTGCTACTCCTACACAAGCACCACGTCCACCCCCACCAGTGCCACGGCGCCCAGCGGCAGTGCAGCAGCCACAGTGAAATCCCCCCGTCCGGCCAGCCCTGCCTCCAACGTGGTGGTGCTGCCCAGCGGGAGCACCGTCTATGTGAAAAGTGAGTGTCAGAACAAAGATTCCATGTTTGTTTATTCCTTTACTTCGGAAAGAAAAATAAGTGTTAAGAGCATTGCATTGGTTAAGGGATCTCCGGTGTAACACTCCTTAAACAGAACCTGCAAAATGGAACAAGGCAAACCTCTTAATGTATCACTGCATTTTTTGTCTCAATTTACATTTGTCTCTGTCTGAATGTTTAGTTTTTCTCTCCCTCTGTCATTCTCTCGCTCACAGGCGTGAGCTGCTCTGACGAGGACGAGAAGCCGCGCAAGCGGAGGCGGACCAACTCCTCGAGCTCCTCCCCCGTGGTGCTGAAAGAGCTTGCCAAGGTGGCCCCTCCCTTGTCCAAGACCATCACCGTGCCAGTAAGCGGTAGCCCCAAGATGAGCAACATCATGCAGAGCATCGCCAACTCGCTGCCATCGCACATGTCCCCCGTCAAGATTACCTTCACCAAGCCCACCACCCAGACCACAAACACCACCACGCAGAAGGTGAGCAGGAGAGAACCAACCGGAATTCGTAAGAAAGCCTCTTGTTCTATAGGCAAAGAGTCAATATACTGAGGTGTGAGACAAATAGTATAGGAATGGTTGAATATGTTTGTATGATCGTAAATTATTGCATACTGTCTGCAAATTTGATTGCAAGGGATTGTGTACATGAACTCTATTTTAAGTGATTGTGTGTATATACAGTGGGGGAAAAAAGTATTTAGTCAGCCACCAATTGTGCAAGTTCTCCCACTTAAAAAGATGAGAGATGCCTGTAATTTTCATCATAGGTACACGTCAACTATGACAGACAAATTGAGAAAAAGAAATCCAGAAAATCATATTGTAGGATTTTTTATGAATTGATTTGCAAATTATGGTGGAAAATAAGTATTTGGTCACCTACAAACAAGCACGATTTCTGGCTCTCACAGACCTGTAACTTCTTCTTTAAGAGGCTCCTCTGTCCTCTACTCGTTACCTGTATTAATGGCACCTGTTTGAACTTGTTATCAGTATAAAATACACCTGTCCACAACCTCAAACAGTCACACTCCAAACTCCACTATGGCCAAGACCAAAGAGCTGTCAAAGGACACCAGAAACAAAATTGTAGACCTGCACCAGGCTGGGAAGACTGCATCTGCAATAGGTAAGCTGCTTGGTTTGAAGAAATCAACTGTGGGAGCAATTATTAGGAAATGGAAGACATACAAGACCACTGATAATCTCCCTCGATCTGGGGCTCCACGCAAGATCTCACCCCGTGGGGTCAAAATGATCACAAGAACGGTGAGCAAAAATCCCAGAACCACACGGGGAGACCTAGTGAATGACCTGCAGAGAGTTGGGACCAAAGTAACAAAGCCTACCATCAGTAACACACTACGCCGCCAGGGACTCAAATCCTGCAGTGCCAGACGTGTCCCCCTGCTTAAGCCAGTACATGTCCAGGCCCGTCTGAAGTTTGCTAGAGTGCATTTGGATGATCCAGAAGAGGATTGGGAGAATGTCATATGGTCAGTTGAAAACTTTTTGGTAAAAACTCAATTTGTCGTGTTTGGAGGACAAAGAATGCTGAGTTGCATCCAAAGAACACCATACCTACTGTGAAGCATGGGGGTGGAAACATCATGCTTTGGGGCTGTTTTTCTGCAAAGGGACCAGGACGACTGATCCGTGTAAAGGAAAGAATGAATGGGGCCATGTATCGTGAGATTTTGAGTGAAAACCTCCTTCCATCAGCAAGGGCATTGAAGATGAAACGTGGCTGGGTCTTTCAGCATGACAATGATCCCAAACACACCGCCCTGGCAACGAAGGAGTGGCTTCGTAAGAAGCATTTCAAGGTCCTGGAGTGGCCTAGCCAGTCTCCAGATCTCAACCCCATAGAAAATCTTTGGAGGGAGTTGAAAGTCCGTGTTGCCCAGCGACAGCCCCAAAACATCACTGCTCTAGAGGAGATCTGCATGGAGGAATGGGCCAAAATACCAGCAACAGTGTGTGAAAACCTTGTGAAGACTTACAGAAAACGTTTGACCTGTGTCATTGCCAACAAAGGGTATATAACAAAGTATTGAGAAACTGTTGTTATTGACCAAATACTTATTTTCCACCATAATTTGCAAATAAATTCAATAAAAATCCTACAATGTGATTTTCTGGAATTTTCTCTCATCTTTTTAAGTGGGAGAACTTGCACAATTGGTGGCTGACTAAATACTTTTTTTCCCCACTGTATATACTGATCAAAAATATAAACGCAACATGCAACAATTTCAACGATTTTACTGAGTTACTGTTCATATAAGGAAATCAGTCGATTGAAATAAATTCATTAGGCCCTAATCTATGGATTTCACATTACTGGGCTGGGGTGCAGCCATGGGTGGGCCTGGGAGGGCATAGGTTTTTCCCCACAAAATGGCTTTATTACAGACAAAAATACTCCTCAGCACCCCCTCCCCTCAGACAATCCATATTTTATTTCAGCTCATGAAAAATGGGACCAACACTTTACATGTTGGATTTATATTTTTGTTCAGTATATGAACTTGATTCTACGTGGCTGTATAACTTACTGTATAATGTATGATTTGTCAGGTAATCATTGTGACGACCTCTCCAAGCTCCAACTTCGTGCCCAACATCCTGTCCAAGTCTCACTCCCACAACTACGCGGCGGCCATGTCAAAGCTGGTTTCCACCTCCATGCTGACCTCGGCCAGCCAGAAACAGACGGTGTTCATCCCGGCCAGCTCAAGTCCCTCCTCGGCCCCCTACACGGTTGCTGTGACCACCGTGGTCTCCTCCAGCCCATCTGTGCTCATGTCGACCATAGCGCAGAGTAGGTTTGAGAGTCCCGCAATAGACAAAGATGTTAGATGTGTTCCTTCCAGCAGTGTTCAACAGATGTCAGATATTTTACTCAGGATTTATTACCAGCCTTCGCCCAATTAGAGACAGAGTTTGTCTTGTTGTAGCTACCAAGACCTTATATATATATATATATATATCATACATACATACTTTTTTCCCTCACTGAATGTATGTATTTGATCCCCTGCTGATTTTGTATGTTTGCCCACTGACAAAGAAATGATCAGTCTATAATTTTAATGGTCGGTTTATTTGAACAGTGAGAGGCAGAATAACAACAAAAAAATCCAGAAAAACGCATGTCAAAAATGTTATAAATTGATTTGCATTTTAATGAGGGAAATAAGTATTTGACCCCCTCTCAATCAGAAAGATTTCTGGCTCCCAGGTGTCTTTTATACAGGTAAATGAGCTGAGATTAGGAGCACACTCTTAAAGGGAGTGCTCCTAATCTCAGCTTGTTACCTGTATAAAAGACACCTGTTCACAGAAGCAATCAATCAATCAGATTCCAAACTCTCCACCATGGCCAAGACCAAAGAGCTCTCCAAGGATGTCAGGGACAAGATTGTAGACCTACGCAAGGCTGGAATGGGCTACAAGACCATCGCCAAGCAGCTTGGTGAGAAGGTGACAACAGTTGGTGCGATTATTCGCAAATGGAAGAAACACGAACTGTCAATCTCCCTCGGCCTGGGGCTCCATGCAAGATCTCACCTCGTGGAGTTGCAATGATCATGAGAACGGTGAGGAATCAGCCCAGAACTACACGGGAGGATCTGGTCAATGATCTCAAGGCAGCTGGGACCATAGTTACCAAGAAAACAATTGGTAACACACTATGCCGTGAAGGACTGAAATCCTGCAGCGCCTGCAAGGTCCCCCTGCTCAAGAAAGCACATATACAGGCCCGTCTGAAGTTTGCCAATGAACATCTGAATGATTCAGAGGAGAACTGGGTGAAAGTGTTGTAGTCAGATGAGACCAAAATTGAGCTCTTTGGCATTAACTCAACTCGCCGTGTTTGGATGAGCAGGAATGCTGCCTATGACCCCAAGAATACCATCCCCACCGTCAAACATGGAGGTGGAAACATTATGCTTTGGGGGTGTTTTTCTGCTAAGGGGACAGGACAACTTCACCACATCAAAGGGACGATGGACAGGGCCATGTACCGTCAAATCTTGGGTGAGAACCTCCTTCCCTCAGCCAGGGCATTGAAAATGGGTTGTGGATGGGTATTCCAGCATGACAATGACCCAAAACACACGGCCAAGGCAACAGGAGTGGCTCAAGAAGAAGCTTATTAAGGTCCTGGAGTGGCCTAGACAGTCTCCAGACCTTAATCCCATAGAAAATCTGTGGAGGGAGCTGAAGGTTCGAGTTGCCAAACGTCAGCCTCGAAACCTTAATGACTTAGAGAAGATCTGCAAAGAGGAGTTGAACAAAATCCCTCCTGAGATGTGTGCAAACCTGGTGGCCAACTACAAGAAACGTCTGACCTCTGTGATTGCCAACAAGGGTTTTGCCACCAAGTACTAAGTCATGTTTTTGCAGAGGGGTCAAATACTTATTTCCCTAATTAAAATGCAAATCAGTTTATAACATTTTTGACATGCATTTTTCTGGATTTTTTTGTTGTTATTCTGTCTCTCACTGTTCAAATAAACCTACCATTAAAATTATAGACTGATCATGTCTTTGTCAGTGGGCAAACGTACAAAATCAGCAGGGGATTAAATACTTTTTTCCCTCACTGTACATACATACATACATACATACATACAGTACCAGTCAAACATTTGGACACACCTACTCATTCCAGGGTTTTTCTTAATTTTTTACTATTTTCCTCATTGTAGAATAATAGTGAAGACATCAAAACTATGAAATAACACAAATGGAATCATGTAGTAACCAAAAAAGTGTTAATTCAAATCAAAATATATTTGAGATTCTTCAAATAGCCACCCTTTGCCTTGATGACAGCTTTGCATACTCTTGGCATTCCATCAACCAGCTTCACCTGGAATGCTTTTCCAATAGTCTTGAAGGAGTTCCCACATATGCTGAGCACTTGTTGGCTGCTTTTCCTTCACTCTGCGGTCCAACCCATCCCAAACCATCTCAATTGGGTTGAGGTCGGGGGATTATGGAGGCCAGGTCATCTGATATAGCACACCATCACTCTCCTTCTTGGTCAAATAGCCCTTACACAGTCTGGAGGTGTGTTGGGTCATTGTCCTGTTGAAAAACAAATGATAGTCCCACTAAGCCCATATCAGATGGGATGGCGTATCGCTGCAGAATGATGTGGTAGCCATGCTGGTTACAGTGAGGGGGGAAAAAGTATTTGAACCCCTGCTGATTTTGTACGTTTGCCCACTGACAAAGAAATGATCAGTCTATAATTTTAATGGTAGGTTTATTTGAACAGTGAGAGACAGAATAACAACAACAAAAATCCAGAAAAACGCATGTCAGAAATGTTATAAATTGATTTGCATTTTAATGAGGGAAATAAGTATTTGACCCCGTCTCAATCAGAAAGACTTCTGGTTCCCAGGTGTCTTTTATACAGGTAACGAGCTGAGTTAGGAGCACACTCTTAAAGGGAGTGCTCCTAATCTCAGTTTGTTACCTGTATAAAATACACCTGTCCACAGAAGCAATCAATCAATCAGATTCCAAACCCTCCACCATGGCCAAGACCAAAGAGCTCTCCAAGGATGTCAGGGACAAGATTGTAGACCTACACAAGGCTGGAATGGGCTACAAGACCATCGCCAAGCAGCTTGGTGAGAAGGTGACAACAGTTGGTGCGATTATTCGTAAATGGAAGAAATACAAAATAATTCTCAATCTCCCTTGGCCTGGGGTCCATGCAAGATCTCACCTCGTGGAGTTGCAATGATCATGAGAACATAACTTTTTTCCCTCTCTGTAAGTGTGCCTTGAATTCTAAATAAAACAGTGTCACCAGCAAAGCACTATTACACCTCCTCCTCCGTGCTTCACGGTGTGAACTACACATGCGGTGATCATCCGTTCACCTACACTGCGTCTCACAAAGACACGGCGGTTGGAACCAAAATCTCAAATTTGGACTCCAGACAAAAGGACAGATTTCCACCGGTCTAATGTCCATTGCTCATTGCTCGTGTTTCTTGGCCCAAGCAAATCTCTTCTTCTTATTGGTGTCCTTTTAGTAGTGGTTTCTTTGCAGCAATTCGACCATGAAGGCCTGATTCACGCAGTCTCCTCTAAACAGTTGATGTTGAGATGTCTGTTACTTGAGCTCTGTGAAGCATTTATTTGGGGCTGCAATTTCTGAGGCTGGTAGCTCTGGGTCTTCCTTTCCTGTGCCTGTCCTCATGAGAGCCAGATTCATCATAGCGCTTGATGGTTTTTGCGACTGCATTTTAAGAAACGTTCAAAGTTCTTGAAATTTTCCGGATTGACTGACCTTCATGTCTTAAAGTAATGATGGACTGTCGTTTCTCTTTGGTTATTTGAGCTGTTCTTGCCATAATATGGACTTGGTCTTTTACTAAATAGGGCTATCTTCTGTATACCAACCCTACCTTGTCACAATACAACTGATTTGCTCAAACGCATTAAGAAGAAAATAAATTCCACAGATTAACTTTTAAGGCACACCTGTTAATTGAAATGCATTCCAGGTGACTACCTCATGAAGCTGGTTGAGAGAATGCCAAGAGTGCGCAAAGCTGTCATTAAGGCAAAGGGTGGCTACTTTGAAGAATCTCAAATATAAAATATTTTGATTTGTTTAACACTTTTTTGGTTACTACATGATTCCATTTGTGTTATTTCATAGTTTTGATGTCTTCACTATTATTCTAAAATGGTGAAAATAAAGAAAAACCCTTTAATGAGTAGTTGTCCAAACTTTTGACTTGTACTGATATATAAACTCAGCAAAAAAAGAAACATCCTCTCACTGTCAACTGCGTTTATTTTCAGCAAAATTAACGTGTAAATATTTGTATGAACATAACAAGATTCAACAACTGAGACATAAACTGAACAAGTTCCACAGACGTGACTAACAGAAATTGAATAATGTGTCCCTGTACATAGGGGGGGTCAAAAGTAACAGTCAGCATCTGGTGTGGCCACCAGCTGCATTAAATACTGCAGTGCATCTCCTCCTCATGGACTGCACCAGATTTGCCAGTTCTTGCTGTGAGATGATACCCCACTCTTCCACGAAGGCACCTGCAAGTTCCCAGACATTTCTGGGGATTAATGGTCCTAGCCCTCATCCTCTGATCCAACAGGTCCTGGATGTGCTCAATGGGATTGAGATCCGGGCTCTTTGCTGGCCATGGCAGAACATGTCATGTCAGGATGAGCCTGCAGGACGGGTACCACATGAGGAAGGAGGATGTCTTCCCTGTAACGCACAGCGTTGAGATTGCCTGCAATGACAACATGCTCAGTCCAATGATGATGTGACACACCGCCCCAGACCATGACGGACCCTGCACCTCCAAATCGATCCCGCTCCAGAGTACAGGCCTCGGTGTAACGCTCATTCCTTCAATGATAAACGCAAATCCGACCATCACCCCTGGTGAGACAACACTGCGACTCGTCAGTGAAGAGCACATTTTGCCAGTCCTGTCTAGTCCAGCGACGCTGGGTTTGTGCCCATAAGCGATGTTGTTGCCGGTGATGTCTGGTGAGGACCTGCCTTACAACAGGCATAAAAGCCCTCAGTCCAGCCTCTCTCAGCCTATTGTGGACAGTCTGAGCACTGATGGAGGGATTGTGCGTTCCTGGTGTAACTCGGGCAGTTGTTGTTGCCATCCTGTACTTGTCCCGCAGGTGTGATGTTCAGATGTACCGATCCTGTGCAGGTGTTTTTACACGTGGTCTGCTGCTGCGAGGACGATCAGCTGTCCGTTCTGTCTCCCTGTAGCGCTGTCTTAGAAGTCTCACAGTACGGACATTGCAATTTATTGCCCTGGCAACATCTGCAGTCCTCATGCCTCCTTGCAGCATGCCTAAGGTACGTTCACGCAGATGAGCAGGGACCGTGGGCATCTTTCTTTTGGTGTTTTTCAGAGTCAGTAGAAAGGCCTCTAGTGTCCTAAGTTTTCATAACTGTGACCTTAATTGCCTACTGTCTGTAAGCTGTTAGTGTCTTAATGACCGTTCCACAGGTGCATGTTCATTAATTGCTTATGGTTCATTGAACAAGCATGGGAAACAGTGTTTAAACCCTTTACAATGAAGATCTGTGAAGGTATTTGGATTTTTACGAATGATCTTTGAAAGACAGGGTCCTGAAAAAGGGACGTTTTTTTCTTTGCTGAGTTTATATATATATATATATACACACAGACATTACCAAAAGTATGTGGACACCTGCTCGTCGAACATCTAATTCCAAAATCATGGGCATTAATATGGAGTTGGTCCCCCCTTTGCTTCTATACCAGCCTCCATTCTTCTGGGAAGGCTTTCCACTAGATGTTGGAACATTGCTGCAGGGGCTTGCTTCCATTCAGCCTCGAGCATTAGTGAGGTCGGGCACTGACGTTGGGCGATTAGGCCTGGCTCGCTGTCAGAGTTCCAATTCATCCCAAAGGTGTTTGATGGGGTTGAGTTCAGGGCTCTGTGCAGCCAGTCAAGTTCTTCCACACCGATCTCAACAAACCATTTCTGTATGGACCTCGCTTTGTGCACGGGGGTACTGTCATGCTGAAACAGGAAAGGGCCTTCCCCAAACTGTTGCCACAAAGTTGGAAGCACAGAATTGTCTAGAATGTCATTGTATGCTGTAGCGTTAAGATTTCCCTTCCCTGGAACTAAGGGGCTTAGCCTGAACCATGACAAACAGCCCCGGACCATTATTCCTCTTCCACCAAACTTCACAGTTGGCGCTATGCATTGGGGCAGGTGGCGTTCTCCTGTCATCAGACAAACCCAGATATGTCTGGCAGATGGTGAAGCATGATTCATCACTTCAGAGAACGCGTTTCCACTGCTCCAGCGTCCAATGGCGGCGAGCTTTACACCACTCCATCCGACGCTTGGCATTGCGCATCGTGATCTTAGGCTCAACCATGGAAACCCATTTCATGAAGCTCCCGACGAACAGTTCTTGTGCTGACGTTGCTTCCAAAGGCAGTTTGGAACTCGAGTTTTGCAACCGAGGACAGACTATTTCTACGCGCTTCAGCACTCGGCGGTCCCGTTCTGTGAGCTTGTGTGTCCTACCACTTCGCGGCTGAGCCGTTGTTGCTCCTAGACGTTTCCACTTAACAATAACAGCACTTACAGTTGACCGGTGCAGCTCTAGCAGGGCAGAAATGTGACGAACTGACTTGTTGAAAAGGTGGCATACTATGACTTTGCCACGTTGAAAGTCACTGAGCTCTTCAGTATGGGCATTCTACTGCCAATGTTTGTCTATGGAGATTGCATGACTGTGCTCGATTATAATTTTTTTACACCTGTCAGCAACGGGTGTGGCTGAAATAGTCCATTCCACTAATTTGAAGGGGTGTCCACATACTTTTGTATCCATCTATTAAATATACATTTTAAACTGGAATTGTGCGTATGTAATTGGGCCACTATTTCCTGTCCTCTCCCTGTGCCAGGTGGCTCGTCGGCGGGTGTGAAGGTGGCCTCTGCCAGGCTCCCCTCTCCTAAGACCATGGTGGGGTCTCCCACCCAGATTCTGTCCCAGTTCCCCAAGCAGCACCCGCAGTCCCCCAAGCAGCAGCAGCAGGGCTCCCCCATGGGGACCGGCGCCATGGGCCAGGCCTCCAACACTCCCCCCAGCTCCAAGCCCATCATTCAGATCAAGGAGGAGTCAGGTGAGCACAGGGTGTAAACCCGAAACCCACTGGTGTTAGTACTCTACCCTGAGTTTCCCCATTATTGTTTTTTTTATGAGTGTGCAATGTTTCATTTTCTGGACCTTCTCACCTGAACTTGGTTAAGTGTACAGAAAATCTGGGGGTGAACAAATATGTGACCTATGTAATTACTTAACGATTTGTCTAATTGTTCCTATAGGTGTGAAAATCATCACCCAGCAGATGCAGCCCAGTAAGATCCTGCCCAAGCCCTCCTCTGCAGGCATGCCCAGCAGCAGCTCCTCCCCCATCATGGTCGTCAGTAGCAACGGGGCCATCATGACCACCAAGCTGGTGTCCCAGCCCACAGGTGTAACTTCTCATAGAAACTCCCTAAACAGACAGAACTGTCGTCCAAGCATGTATATAATACACAAAGACAGCAGATGGCAGCACTGGTTTGGACAATAGTTTGATTTAAGTTAATTGTTTAGGCATTGTTCTGTGTGCTTTTATCCTTTATTCTATCTGTAGATATTGATATGGAGAAAGAAAACTGTGCTAAGTGAGGACCTGTCAATTGTTTTAATTTAAATTGAGGAAAAGCATTGTTTTTGTGCAGGCACCCAGGCCACCTACTCGAGGCCCACCGTGAGCCCCACTATTGGAGCCAGGATGGCGACGTCGGCCAGTGGTGCCACCTACGTCAAGACCACCAGTGGCAGCATCATCACGGTGGTCCCAAAGTCTATGGCCACATTGGGCAGCAAGATCATCAGCAGCAACATTGTGTCTGGTGAGACTGGTATTATTTTTCTACACTTCTGTAGTGTTTAGGGATGTGAACGTTTAAACGTTAAAACATCTAAAGAAAATTGGGATCATTAACTAAGAAATAATCCTAACCAACATTTTTTTTTTTTTTTACAACACTTTTTTTTTGCAGTGCAGTTATCACAAAACTACCATAAAATGGGTCATGATCAACATCATAAAGTAAAAAAATTAAATAAACAAATACTTAACCCAACAAAGCTGTAACGTTAGGATGAGAATATTATTATTATTTTAGCTGCTTTATTAACCGGATCTGTAATGCAGGGCTAATTGAGACTACATAACTGTAACTGTGCACATTATCCCCTTCCTACAGTAAATAACGTTCACCTTATTAAAGGGGAATAACGGCACATTTTGAAAATGTGTTTGTTCCTAAACCCCTCTGACTCGTTGTTGGACTGTCTGTCAAATTGCGCAACTCTCTCACTCAGGGAGAGCGAGGTAGAGCTAGAGCGAAAGCTACGTCACAGGGTTATACAGCCCCCCACTCACTGCAGCACTAGATAGAACTTTGTGGAATAACGCAAATCAACAAAAAATATATACGTTCTGTCGGAGCGATAGGGCTGACCCCATGTCGATAGGCTGTTGGTCGACTGAGATTTCTTTAGTCGAGCAGTAGCAAAAAAAATATAATAAAAAATATCATGGTGTACAAGACACCTGTGTGATTCACGCCTGTCTGAGTGGACTGATCAGTTGTGGAGGCCGTTGGGATGGCACAGTCCATCAGTTGACCGAGATTTATTTAGTTGAGCAGTGGAAGAAAAACATAATTATATATATATATATATATATATATATATACACACACACACACACAGTGCATTCGGACCCCTTACCCTTTTCAACATTTTGTTACATTACGGCTTTATTCTAAAATGTATTAAAAAAATTTCATCATCAATCTACACACAATACCCCATAATGACAAAGCGAAAATAGGTTTTTAGACATAAAAAGAAAAAAGGAAATACATTATTTACATAAGTACTCAGACCCTTTGCTATGAGACTCAATTGAGCTCAGGTGCATCCTGTTTCCGTTGATCATCCTTGATGTTTCTACAACTTGATTGGAGTCCACCTGTGGTAAATTCAATTGATTGGACATGATTTGGAAAGGCACCCACCTGTCTATATAAGGCCATAAGGTCGATGGAATTGTCCGTAGAGCTCCGAGACAGGATTGTGTCGCGCCACAGATCTGGGGAAGGGTACCAAAACATTTCTGCAGCATTGAATATCCCCAAGAACACAGTTGCCTCCATCATACTTAAATGGAAGAAGTTTGGTACCACCAGGACTTTTCTTAGAGCTGGCCGCCCGGCTAAACTGCGCAATCAGGGGAGAAGGGCCTTGGTCAGGAAGGTGACCAAGAACCCCATGGTCACTCTGACAGAGCTCTAGAGTTCCTCTGTGGAGATGGGAGAACATTCCAGAAGGACAACCATCTCTGCAGCACTCCACCAATCAGGCCTTTATGCTAGAGTGGCCAGACGGAAGCCACTCCTCAGTAAAAGGCACATGACAGCCCGCTTGGAGTTTGCCAAAAGGCACCTAAAGACTCTGACCATGAGAAACAAGATTCTCTGGTCTGATGAAACCAAGATTGAACTCTTTGGCCTGAATGCCAAGCGTCACGTCTGGAGGAAACCTGGCACCATCCCTACGGTGAAGCATGGTGCTGGCAGCATCATGCTGTGGGGATGTATTTCAGCGGCAGGGACTGGGAGACTAGTCAGGATCGAGGGACCGATGAATGGAGCAAAGTACAGAGATCCTTGATGAAAACCTGCTCCAGAGCACTCAGGACCTCAGACTGGGGCGAAGGTTCACCTTCCAACAGGACAACGACCCTAAGCACACAGCCAAGACAACGCAGGAGTGGCTTTGGGACAAGTCTCAATGTCCTTGAGTGGCCCAAACAGAGCCCGGACTTGAACCCGATCAACCATGTCTGGAGAGAGGATCTGCAGAGAAGAATGGGAGAAACTCCCCAAATACAGGTGTGCCAAGCTTGTAGCGTCATACCCAAGAAGAGACGTTGATTCAACAAAGTACTGAGTAAAGGGTCTGAATACTTATGTAAATGTGAAATTTCTGTGTCTAAAAACCAGTTTTTGCTTTGTCATTATGGGGTATTATATGTAGATTGATGAGGGGATAAACTATTTAATCCATTTTAGAATAATGCTGTAACGTAACAAAATGTGGAAAAAGTCAAGGTGTCTGAATACTTTCCGAATGCACTGTATATCATGGTGTACAAGACACCTGTCTGATTCGCGCCTGTCTGAGTGTTCTGATCCATTGTGGAGGCCGTGGGGATGGCACAGTTCTTCAGTCAAACACGTGCTTCTGAAATTGTATATGGTTATATTTCATAAGAACAATAGTGCAACACTAATAACAAATAATATTATTTAATAACAAATACGCTTTCTCCCGAGTTGGATAGTGGTCGCTGTCCGCGGTTCAGAAACACATAATTGCGCTGTTGAATCCTTTTCGTAGACCATGTTGCTGCAGTTGAAGTCGGGAGTTTACATACACCTTAGCCAAATACATTTAAACTCAGTTTTTCACAATTCCTGACATTTAATCCTAGTAAAAATTCCCTGTCTCAGGTCAGTTAGGATCAACACTTTATTTTAAGAATGTGAAATGTCAGAATAATAGTAGAGAGAATAATTTATTTCAGCTTTTATTTATTTCATCACATTCCCAGTGGGTCAGAAGTTTACATACACTCAATTAGTATTTGGTAGCATTGCCTTTAAATTGTTTAACTTGGGTCAAGTTTTTCGGGTAGCCTTCCACAAGCTTCCCACAATAAGTTCGGTGAATTTTGGCCCATTCCTCCTGACAGAGCTGATGTAACTGAGTCAGGTTTGTAGGCCTCCTTGCTCGCACACGCTTTTTCAGTTCTGCTCACACATTTTCTATAGGATTGAGGTCAGGGCTTTGTGATGGCCACTCCAATACCTTGACTTTGTTGTCCTTAAGCCATTTTGCCACAACTTTGAAAGTATGCTTGGGGTCATTGTCCATTTGGAAGACCCATTTGTGACCAAGCTTTAACTTCCTGACTGATGTCTTGAGATGTTGCTTCAATATATTCATATAATTTTCCTTCCTCATGATGCCATCTATTTTGTGAAGTGCACCAGTCCCTCCTGCAGCAAAGCACCCCCACAGCATGATTCTGCCACCCCCATGCTTCACGGTTGGGATGGTGTTCTTCGGCTTGCAAGGTACCCCCTTTTTCCTCCAAACATAACAATGGTCATTATGGCCAAACGGTTCTATTTTTGTTTAATCAGACCAGAGGACTTTTCTCCAAAAAGTACGACCTTTGTCCCCATGTGCAGTTACAAACCGTAATCTTTTGGAGCAGTGGCTTCTTCCTTGCTGAGCGGCCTTTCAGGTTATGTCTATATAGGACTCGTTTTACTGTGGATATAGATACTTTTGTACCTGTTTCCTCCAGCATCTTCACAAGGTCCTTTGCTGTTGTTCTGGGATTGATTTGCACTTTTCGCACAAAAGTACGTTAATCTCTAGGAGAAAGAACGCGTCTCCTTCCTGAGCGGTATGACGGCTGCGTGGTCCCATGGTGTTTATACTTGCATACTATTGTTTGTACAGATGAACGTGGTACCTTCAGGCGTTTTGATAATTTCTCCCATGGATGAACCAGACTTGTGGAGGTCTACAATTTTTTTTCGGAGGTCTTGGCTGATTTCTTTTGATTTTCCCATGATGTCAAGCAAAGACGCACTGAATTTGAAGGTAGGCCTTGAAATACATCCACAGGTACACCTCCAATTGACTCAGATGATGTCAATTAGGCTATCAGAAGCTTCTAAAGCCATGACATCATTTTCTGGAATTTTCCAAGCTGTTTAAAGGCACAGTCAACTTAGTGTATGTAAACCTTTGACCCACTGGAATTCTGTTATAGTGAATTATAAGTGAAATAATCTGTCTGTAAACAATTGTTGGAAAAATTACTTGTGTCATGCACAAAGTAGATGTCCTAACCGACTTGCCAAAACTATAGTTTGTTAAGAAGAAATTTGTGGAGTGGTTGAAAATGAGTTTTAATGACTCCAACCTAAGTGTATGTAACCGTTTACTTGACATGTCATTGCATGAGGCTTGGTGGTCGCGGGACCGAGACCGAGACATGAAAAATGCAAGTCCAATTCAAGATCATGATTGTAATTCTGTCAAATCACCACCATAGTAAGAGTTCAAAATGTCCAGTATTTCTGTGTTCATATTTCAGAACAACATATGGAGTCTTTAGATATTCAGAATAGTGAAAAAATGAATGCTGAGCGAAAATAGAGCCACTCTACAAATTATTACTAACCCAAACACAGCGGGGGAAAATGGGCCTTCTACGCCTTCAGAGAAGGGCTAAGGATTTCTAAAATAATAATAATAAGAATTATTATATTATTATTTTCAATGATGTTCTGATGTAATCTCTTCAGTTTTTGTTGGAAAGGAAAGACTTAATACTGAAGAGAAAAAAAGATCCAATCAGGCTTTTTCTTTGCTGCTCTCTGGGGAGGTATATCTAGCTAGCTAAGTCAGACATTGGCTAGGCCATCAGAAGCTAGATAAAGGCATCTGCCATTCAACTGTATTAGGGCAACATTTTGGAGTGACAGTGGAATCAACCAATCATATTTTGACTTAATGAGTGGGACCGTTTTTACAAAAACATGGAAACGTCTGCCTTCTTGAAGGCCAACAGGTCACTGCACAATAGCGAGCAATTGTTTTCCCACGGTCTAGCTAGATAGCTTTTGTTGTCGGCTAGTTTGCAGCGGGTGCAGCAGGTGTTATCAAAGAGGATGTTGTTGCTAATTTGTCGGCTAATTTGCTTCTCCCTTTTCAAAAATAACTTTTAACAAGAAGTTAAGTTTCAAATGATCATCT